ATTAGTTCCAAAATTTGTTATATTTCTCCTATTCTCGTGTTCTAGGTCTCATCTTTTTCAAAGGAAAGAACACATCTCCCTCTAGCAGTTGTGTTAGTTTCTCTCACGTCAACCTCTCCTCGCCCATTGGGGTCCTACTCCATTTAAAGGAATCTGAGACTCGAACAAGTTCAGGGCCTCCCTCAAGGAAGTTCACAGTCGTGAACTCGAATATTGTCATGTGATCTTCATGTGACATCATTCAACCATGTTTGTGCTCGGAGATAACGGGTAGAAGATCCTTGTCGTTAACTTATTATCGCGACAGTGAAATTTATCGTGCTATCATAGTCCGCAAGTGATAAGATGTCGAGCTCGTGAAAGTTTAGGTTCTTTTGTCAAAGTTGCGCAGCTTCGATATTTTTAAGGTTTTCTGATATTTTCCCTGAACAACTCGAAAGTAAAGGATAGGGCAGAATTTTCGTGCAATCTGAACACAAAATTGGGAGAAAGCTCGAACAATATAAGGGTAGCAGCTCGACCACAATCAAGGGGAATACCTGATTGATACAGAGCTCGCTCGAATGCTAGAGATCCACTAACAAGCAAGTATAAAATTCAAAAGTAAAAACTCAATGAACCGAAAATGGTTTTTTTTCTATTCAACATCCATCTCCTAATCTGTCAAATTCGTTGCTTCGTCCCTTTAAATAGGTATAAAAAATAACCTAATGAAAACACCAAAAAGGAAAAGAATCATAAACGAAAAAGGTAACAAAACTCGGCATGCTCCAAATCCCGATCCAAAACCCGATCGGGTATTAATTGCACTTGAACGGGGGGCATTCTTGACCAATTCCTCGGTGTGCCTCCATTTTTCCCCGGTCTAGGATTCTTTTATTGTGGCCAGATGCTGGCGGGGAATCACATCATCGAGTCGGACTGCAAGACCTTCTGCTCCTTAATTATGTCGATGGCTTCCCGAAGTTCACAGCCTCGGCTCCAAAGATCGCGACCGTGAACTCTCACATGCCATGCAGACTCCATATCTAGCTTGAATATTTTCGGTCGTGATCCTCCGCCTTTTGCAAGCAAACTCTCATGCCCATTTATCTACACTTGATGCTATATTATGTTTTAGGTGGCTTAAATCTAGGGGTGGGATTCGGTCGGTAAACAATTTACCGTTTACCGAATTTACCGGTTTCGGTATACCGAAGTTGGCCAAACTGGTTACCGATTACCGATACCGGTTTGTAACCGGTTTACCGATTACCGAATTACCGGTAAACGGTAACAAACCGGTATTACCGAAATACCGTGAGAAGCGATTTCGGGCGATTTTTTCGGTCGGTTTACCGAATATTTACCGAACCGAATCTCTGGAAGTGGGGTGATGTTGTAATATTTCGATTTTTTTGAGTTTTTTTCATCATTTTAGTAATTAATAATTTATTATTAACTCTTATTTACAATATTTTTGAGGCCTATACTTACATTCATGTATGTAATATTTTATATTAACTCTTATTTACAATATTTTTGAGGCGCAACACTAGGGAGTAGGGAGGGGGGATTCGGTATCGGTAATACCGATTTACCGTCGGTATTTACCGATACCGTTTTCGGTAAACCGACTCCCCCAACTTCCCGCTCGGCTACCGATACCGCCGGTAAACGGTTTACCACCCCTACTTAAATCCACACACCTTCACCTATTGAATATCATATGCATGCTAGGAAGCGAAAGAATGTTAGAATGAGAATTTAAGTACTCGTTAAAGCACAAAATGACATTAGAATACCAAGAACTAGGTAGGTATTGATATGATCCCAAATGGTCAACTATACACGTTTAAATTACTTGAAGAAGAAGCTATTGAAATTGGGAAGAAGAAGCGCAGAATTTGGCTAAGTCAAAATCCGTGTTCAGGGTACATACTTTGGAGGCATGGTTCTCTCAATTGGCTTGGTGGAAATTCAAGTTTAAGGGTTTGTTTTACAGATAAAGTTACCATGTTTCCAATGGTATGCTTTGTGGATCCAGATAATGTCATTAAAGTTGTTTTCCAATACCTCAAAGTTGCTACCTCAAAACTGGAAAACTGCCAGAAAATGGCCAAGGCAGAAAACTGTTTTGTGAAGCCTACTTTGGAGCTCAATTCAAGGAGCATGGATGGGATTCAAGTCAAAAGGCTTCTACAACATGAAACTAGGTATGTTTGTGAACAAAGGGAAGGAATTGGATGAAGAATTGGAGTTCGGGAAGGCCTCGAACAAAAGGCGCGAAGTTAGTACGAAAGCTGCCTTTTGAGTTTTGACTGTTTTGCGGGCAGATTACTTGTGCGCCAAGAAAGGAAGTTTATGGCCGAATTTTGAGTCCTTTTTAGAGTTTTTTTTTACCTTAATTGTTTCCTTGTTCATCTAGATTTGTATTAGGTTTTATTGGCTATAAATAGCCCTCCATTTACGTTGTAAAAACATAAGACTTTGATTAATCGAATTGAGAACCTTTTGGTTTTTTGTGCAAGTTGCGACTTGTGTTGAGTTTGTTGGATTCCAAGCTCGTGAGCTCTTGTATCGATTGAATAGTCACTTCAATCGTGGTCGGGCATCTACCTTTTATACCAATCGAGCGTTCCCCAGGTGTGGAATCGTCCTTTTGGTTCCATTTCATCCAAGTTCGTATTAAGAACGCTTCTTCTTGATTCAAGCTCAATCGGTCTTTCGATTGAATCGTTTGCTGCTTACTTGCTATATCCCTGCCTTCTTGCACGGCTCGTTCTTCGAGCCATCCCCAGGGGCGTATTAGGTATATAACACAAAATTGGTTGTTATCAGTGGGTAGCCTACAAGACGGTTTTCATATATCACTTATGTAGAAAGGGTGCTTCCAAGACTTGTACTGCATTTGATACGTTAGTGCATAAGGACTTAAGTTCTCTCACCTCCACCCAAAAGAAGACATCAAAATACAATAAATATGATAAAAAGGATTCAAACAAGTAAGTTATATAGGTAACAAGAATCAAATGTTACATTGTCTAAGGAACCTCTAGTATTCGCAAATCAACACAACTAACGAAGTAACCACTCACGGGGCCATAATCTAAGGATAACATCGGTCTAAAGACGAGATTCCGAAAGACCCTGAAAAATGGCATCCATGACAGGAATATACCAGAATACACCAGAATATCATGAAATATACCAGAATATCTGAAACCACTCCACAACTCTCATTAAGCATACCAAAAAGACGGAAAAACAACACAAGAAAACTTCATAATGCTAATTATAAGTTTTATTAAACATACCAAATAAACTCAAAACCATAAGCTTAATGATTATGGTTAGCATTGTGCTATATGGTGTTAGCACCGGGATAAGATCTGATGACTAATGGAGGATCCCTTAGTCACTTGCTAAGTCGATCTCAACCTTTCAAACTCATTAAAATCCAATGATTCTAATTAATTTCATTTTATAAAGGATAATATGATAATTGCATTGCCTTTTAATTTTCAATTATTAAGTAATTTTTTAAAAAAATCCTTCTTTATTCTGGCTCACAGGCCTCGACGGCGACCACCCTTCTCAGGTGCCAATTATTCTTGTTCTAGGTGTGTTCTTTCCCACTTCCTTTGTGGGTCTGGAGAGAGAGAGGATTTTCCTGCAAAAATTTTAGAGAGAGAGAGAGAGAGAGAGACAGAAACATTGATGATTTTCCGGCCGCGACGAGAATATTCTGGCGACAACATCAATTTTGTGATGTTTTTTGTTATACTTTGTAATATTTGTATGTCCGGTTTGTAATGTTTATATCACTTCGAGTTGTATTGTTTATTATTCTTGTTTATCGATTTTATCTATTATATTTGTAATGTTTATATGACTATTTTGTATATATATATTGTAATTTGTAATGTTTGTTTGTCTAATTTGTATACTTATATGTTATGATTTGTATACTTTGTATTCATTGGTTTGGAATATCAGTTTACCGATTTTTGTAAGTAGTGGTATTCTGTACGATTAGTATGCTTTGTATTGTTTGTTGGTTTCTTTTGTAATGTTTTTAAACTTTGTTATTTTTGTCCACTATGTTTGTCATTTTTTTCAACCATGTTTGAAATGTTTTAATGTCTAAAAAATAACTTGGTTTACTTTTGGACCGAAGTCCTCTATATGGAGATGGAGCCTCCAAAGTCAACCCGATTGTTTTTCCATTTTGTATAGTTTGTCTGTCTAGTTTGTCATTTTTGTCCACCATGTTTGTATGTCTAAAAAAACGGGTTGATTTTGGAACGGTGCCCCTCTATATAGGAATGGAGCCTCAGAAGTCAACCCAGTTGTTTTTCCACTTTTTATGATTTGTATTGTTTGTCGGTCTACTTTGTATAGTTTGTATAGTTCGTACGTTTTGTATTGTTTGTAAATCTGTTTGTATGTTTTTTTCATTCTAGTTTGTATTGTTTGTAAGTCTGGTTTGTGTACTTCGTAAATTTACATAATACCCAAAATAACCCTATCATTAATTAAATAGCCCTTCCCGCTTTTTAACCATCAGATTAGTGTGTCCATATCTAAGAGCTTGGAGGGGTTTAGTCAAGTGACTAAGCACCCCCCGGTCACCTGATTCGCCCTCGTTGACACCCTATCTAGCTGCCCAATTCTACTACCGACAAGGGCAAGCCCAACCTTCGGCTTGAAAACCTTACCATGCATATGATTTGTATTGCGCAAACCATGGTAGGCCCATAAAGATTGTCAGACGGGCTCAATGGTAAGTGGCAAGAGTCAGCGAGCGAAACGCTACCAAAGCTTCCAGAACTAATTATGTAGAGTAAAACGAAATTTGAAACTCAAAATCTAATTGGATAGCAGGTTTAGCCCTGCCATTTCTTATCTCACCCTCTACACATAACCATAACACACCTATATCCTCTACTAAGCAAAAGAATACCTCCCCCAACTTTCAGGGAAGCTGACCAATCAAATCGCCACCTCAAGTTTCACCAATGGCTCTTCGAGCGGCCACCATTCTTTCTTCCACATGCTCCCTCCACAAAGAGGTTAGTTAATTTCATTCGCAACATCCGGTGCAAGTGTTCTTACCACTGTTTTCATGTTTTGTCGTTTGATTGTTCTTTCAGGGAAAGACCATTACTTCTCTCAAGGAAACATAATTTTTCGGAGCCTCGATCCCGTTTCCGAATTGCTCGAAAGAAGAATCCCAGACACTCCTGATAAGAAGCAAGGTTAGTTGATCGGCCATGTATACTATCAAGAACCCTTAAGCTGTGCTTTTCGCAATAAGAAAAATAAGCCTCAAAATGGCGAGTTTGAGATACTTTAGGGAATTGGTGATATGGGTTTTCGCGAGACTGGAACGTTGATAGCGGTAAATGTCATTTTCTTAACTCCTCAGACTCATGAAATCAGGAAAAGGGAAGTACCTTATGGAACACTAGTAGTCCGAGCCCAAACTGCTACTACAACCCCAACAATGACCAATTATGCGCCAGATGCGGGAAAGACCAAGAGAAAAGGCAACGTGATAATCACATGAGCTTCATCAGGCTAGGGCTAGCCACAGCCATGGCACTAGGGCAAACAATGGAATGGCATGTGTCATGGCTTGCAGAAACTTTCTCAAGGCGGAGAGGCAGCCAAATCATCCGGCATCCCGATGCAGAACTACACAGTAATGCACCTCGACCTTGCCTCACTTGACAGTGTCAAACAATTTGCTGAGAATGTTTGGCGTTTGGAGAAGCCTAATGATGTTCTGGTCTGCAATGTTGTTGTCTATCTGCCCACTAACAAGGAACCAACTTACACAGCTGATAGGTTTGAGCTCAGTGTCGGGACTTTGGCCACTTTCTTCTCGCCAGGCTCCTTCTCGATGACCTGAAGCAATCGGATTACCCTTCCAAATTCCTTATCATTGTCGGCTCCATAACAGGTAATGACTAGTAGTAATATGACCAAACAACCAACAACAATATATAGCGACTCCATATTTTCACTAATGTTGGTGCAATCCAGGAAACACAAACACATTGGCTAGAAACGTGCCACCCAAGGCTAACCTGGGGGATTTGAGAGGGCTTGTTGGTGGCTTGAATAGGGTGAATACTTCCTCAATGATCAACGGGGGAGAGTTTGACGGAGCCAAGGTGTACAAAGATAGCAAAGTCTGCAACATGCTCACGATGCAAGAATTCCACAGGCGCTATCATGAAGAGACAGGAGTTACCTTTTCTTCGCTCTACCCTGGTTGCATTGCAGAAACGGGTTTGTTAAGGGAGCATGTTCCTTTGTTCAGACTTCTATTCCCACCTTTCCAGAAGTACATTACTTAAAGCTATGTTTCTGAGGAAGAAGCGGGTAAGAGACTCGCACAGGTCTGGTTTTTTAGAAAGGAATCTTTCAGGTTTTCTTTCATTCTCCAATTAAAAAAAAGGAACAACTTTAATTTCAGGTTGTGAGCGAACCGTACCTTACAAAATCGGGTGTATATTGGAGCTGAAACAATAACTCGTCTTCATTCGAGAACTAGCTCTATGAAGAAGCTAGTGATGCCGAAATGGCCAAAAAGTTGTGGGAAATAAGTGAGAAGCTTGTTAGGTTGGCTTTAGGGGTGAGCTTCGGTTCGGTCAAAACCGAACCTAACAGGAGCATATCGAGTTCCTAAAACAGGCCAAAGGTGCAACCAAATTCGAACCGAAATATATTTCGGTTCGGTCAAACCAAACCGAAATATATCCCAGTTCGTTTCGGGATCCCGACAAGCCCAAACTTCTTCTCTACCCTACTTTTCCACTTCTCGTTCAATCTTCCGTCCTCTTTGCTACTCTCTCTCCCACAAAATTTCCCACTTTTCCTTCATCCCTCCCTCTGCTACTCTCTCTCTCTCTCTCTCTCTCCCAAAATCAAAATTTCGTCCTCTTCTTCACCTCTCCCTTTGCTGCTCTACTCTCTATCCCTCCCCTACACACTCTCGCCCAAACAAAGTTCATTTTTCAGAGGAAAGAGAGGTAGAGATCTCAAAGGTGTCTCCGGTCCGCCCTCTTCAAGCACTTCGCCACCCAGAGCGCACCCCGGCACCGGCTCGTTTATCCAAGTCCTCTACTCACCGGGAAAAATGGTGAGGCCTCCTTTCCTATCTCAGATCTTCCTCTCATTAATGGATTGCCATATCCGACTCTCCTCTAGTTCCTAACTGGGTTGTCGTTCACCGCGCCCTTTAGTTCCTAGCCTTTGCTTCTTCATCCGAAGCTGTAGCAACCCCGACTCCCCCAACCCGATCGTCGACTCCTCTCTCTCTCTCTCTCTCTCTCTCTCTCTCTCTCTCTCTCTCTCTCTCTCTCTCTCTCTCTCTCAACGAGTTCCTTCGCTTGCAAAGGCCAGACTCAGAGCGTTTTAAAGAGAAGGTAAGAGAAAAGAAGAGTTGGGATCCATAAGAGAAGGGAAGAGAAGGAAACGAGCCAAGGTTGAGCTAGACTTGTTAGTAAACGAGCCAAGGTTGAGCTAGACCATGCTCCACTTGATAAGATCGTGAACTAGCTTGACTCGGTGGCTTGTTAAGCTATGTTCGCCAGCTATCTTGTTTAGAGCTAATGAAAGGATTAATTACTCTTCTAAACATTAACATTATCTTGTTAATATGGATGTGTATGGAAGTTATCTGTTATTTTTAGTTTCTAGTGTTCTTTTTATCATTTACATTCTTATGTGTACACATTCTTCGGCAAGAATGATTTCAAATCGAACTCATCTTGAGCCGAGCTTGTACTAACCTTGACAAGCTGTGTTAATGAGCATTTACCGAGCTCTATCGTGTCGAGCTCGATCTGGATTATTTTTAATTGACCCGAGCTCGAGCTGAAAAATTTATAAACGAGCCAAGCTCAAGCTAAGCAAAAGCTCGACTCGACTCGGCTCATTTGCGGCCATAGTTGGGATCACAGAGGGGGAAAGGTTTGGGGGAAAGGTTTGGGCCAAGTGAGCGGGCTTAATAACAATATATATGGGTCGGGTTTAGTTTGTTCGGTTTTTGGTTCGGATTTCAGAAACTCTATTTGGTCGACCAGACCCTATTTCAAAAATAAGCATATTTCCTTTCCGAATTCTAAACCAAACACCTTTAGTTCGGTTCTGGGTCGGTTTTGATCGGTTTTGGTTCGACTCGATTCGAGTTTACCGAACTGGATGGCCACCTCTAGTTGGCTTGAAAGGAGGATTTACTCGAATTGCTACATTTTGAAGAATATACCATGAGAAACTAGTCAGGAGAGAACTAGACTTTGTAATGAAATCATCTCGTCTCCTGGGGTTGTAATTGTACAAGCTGAGTACCAAATGAGATCAAAATTCATTCATAATGCTGATTATAAGAGTGCCAGCGGCTTTCATCGTACATAAGTGAACATGGATATACTAACAACATCGAATCTACATCTCAAAGAGGAAGAACAAAGTAACCTTGACCACTCGAACAGGGAACTATGGTTACACTTGATACAAGTGCGATCTACAAAATGAGACACAAAAGGCCAAACTAAGTGGTAACAGCAGCAAAAAGCCAAAAACTAGTTTTTGTTATTTTCAGAAGCAGCATTCTCTTCCTTCCCAAGTGCAACCACCACTTTCTTCAAGATTGCTTCGGTCGACATGTGGGCGTTCTCCACAGCCTTTGAAATCGATTGCCATTTCTCTCCATGCTTCGGATCAGCATCAATGCACTTCTTTATAACATCCTTCTGAGTCTCTTCACTACCATGTTGCAGTTCAAGCTTGTAAAAAAGGGACCAGAAATCACCAATATCAGGTGCAACTGTGACCGCTCGACCCAGCCAGTTTCTTGCTTTATCAACCTTCCTATCTTGCATGAAGAACTTGGCAACAGCAGCCACAACATGCGGATCATGATCGGTTTTCTTGAGACCATCCGAACTCCTGCTTTTCCTTTGAGGGCGTGGAACCATCTCAATTGACGCTGCCCACAGTATGCCACTGTTGGGACACTCCTGCAGTGCCTTAGCCATCAAGTTGTCAGCTTCCTTCTTATTCCCGTGACTTGATTCAGCACGTACAGCAGCAAGCCACAGTTCTGGGTTCTGTGGGTTCTTCTTCCTCGCCATGGTCAGCACAGCTCTAGCTCTACCCAGTCCATTCATTCTCTCTTCCAGGCAAGCCAGAGAAAGCCATAAAGGTACACGGTTCGGGCAGTGCTTCAGCCCCAACTCATAAACTTCCTTAGCTTTCTCCAGCTGACCTAGCCTTTCCTCCAGCTGGCCGAGCATCAACCACAGTTTGAAAAATGAAGGAAATCGCTTCAACCCCTCGTCAAGCATTATCCTTTCCTTCTCAGTATCCCCTAATTCTCTCTCAACAATTGCAGATTTCATCCACACCCTCTCCGTACCTCCACTCTCTCTTGCCTTACCGAGCAATATTCTAGCTCTTTGAGGTTCGTGATTCTCGAATTCGAGCTTGAACGCTGCAAGCAAAATCTCCTCGGAGTTTGGTATAGCTTTATAAGCTTCATCGAGAATTGCTCTAGCAGCTGGGACATCACCAGCAAGCCACTTCTCCTTGGCACCCATAAGCCAAAGCACCTCTGTCTGTGGAGTATATGTTACTGCTTTCCTCAAAAAGGCATCAAGAGATTCCCTAGTTCCATGACTCTTCTCAAGCTGTGCAGCTTTAAGCCAAATGCTCTTCTTGGTCAAAAAGACGCTAAGTGCATGAGCATAAATAGCTCTGGCCGTCTCAATAGATCCTCGCTTAATACACTCCTCAGCATCTGCCACCCAAGTCCTTTTCCTATCTTCTTCCTCAACTCCAATACCGATTGTATTGCTTACAATGGCTTGACAAGTTGTTACAGAACCTGCCCTCTCTGCAGCCTCAGCCTCCTTCATCCAGGCTTCCCGATCAATTGCCAACCCTTCTCTCTGCAGAGCTCTGATACCTCTTTCAATAAGCTTCCCAACCATAGTAGTATTCCCATTTGCCTCTTCCAGCTTTGCGGCTGTGATCCATATAGCCGGCTCCTTAGTTAGCTTCTCCCTTGCACGATTCAACACTTTCCTTGCATTAGCATATGTCTCTAATCGAGCTAATGCCAACCACAATTCCACATGCAATGGGCAGCATTCAACAGCTCGGTGAAGCAAAACCCTAGCCTCCCCTTCATTGGACAGCTCAACCACTGCTTTCCATAACCTAACCGAATCTGGAATATTGTCAAGACCTTTCATCAAAACTCTCCTTCTATTCACATCATCATGTTCCAACTTTGAAGCTTGTAACCACAACTTGACAGAATTTGGAATACTCTTGACTCCTCTAGCAATCACAGCTTTGGCTTCATCAGGACTAGCCAATCGACAAGCTTCCAACCAAACGTCCTCGTTCATGGGACATTCCTCACAACCCTTTTGAATCAATTGCCTGGCCACTTGAATCTTCCCAGCCACCTCCTCCAACCTTGAAGCAGCAATCCAGCCAGGAGGGTGCTTAGGATTGGTCTGAGTAACACTTTTCAACAACAATCTTGCCTTCTTAATATCCGATATCTCGGCATCACTAGTGATCTTCATACTCTTCAAATCAGTCAAGTAACCCTTTGGATCCACAACAGTTAATCCGGAAACTGAATCAGATAACCTATCTAACTTTATAGACAAAACAGTGCCTCTACCTTCACCAACGGCAGTCAAGTCGGTAACTGGAGTCTGCGACCATGGCGTCTCAGCTCCACCAGCAGCTCTGCTCTTGGGATCTAAAGCAGTAACGTGTTCTTGCTCTTGCCTGGCCTTCTCAAGCAAAGTGTCTGGAACAGGGACAAAGCTCTCAAACCTTTTCTTCTTGTTTCTCAACGAATAATCTCCAATATCGGGAATG